ATCATATAATTTTCTTAAGTTATTTTCTAATTTTATATATTTTTATAAAATAATACCTTTGCATTTTGATTAAATATATCTAATTCAACAAAATATTCTTACAATTTACAAAATTTAATAATTAATGTTTTTATACTAAAAGTTTAATAGGGCTAAATCATTTTCTTTAGTTGTATGTATCTTATTCATTGAGGAGAAAATCTCTTCCCTAAATCAAATGGTGGTGGTCTAGTGATAAAATGATTCAGAAAAATAAATAAATATTTCTAATCTAAATTCGATTTCTTTTGAAAACACTTGTACATCTATTTGGTCACTCGAAATTATGTCACGTTACATTTTAGGCTCATTAAAAACCTCTAACACGTGGAGAACTTGAGAGTTGTTGTTTTTTAATTAAAACATTTTTATTAATCTAAAAATTGAAAAGATACAGGAATGATGTGAGAACCGGTACTACCATCACTAAAACAATAACGACAACCAAAAAAAAAATGCAAATAGGATGAGGAGGATTAACAGATAGGAGTTACATTGAGATACTTCTGAGAACATGGAGTATCTAACTCCCATACTAACACAGCTTCAAAGCTTCATCATGCTTTGAAACTATATTTTGAAGAGCCAAAGATTTTTTTCTTACTATCATTAGAATTTTCCTTAGAACAGACTAGAATTTTCCAGGGATATATATTTCTGAAAAAATGGACAACTTGATAGTTACATTCATCATAGATGATTAGTCGGATGGTTGCATTTTTTTTTTTTTGATAAACCGTGGGAATTCCAAACATTTGGTTCATAATCTCTTTAGTATCCGGAGACAGTATTTGGATATTCCGATTTAAAGAATAACTCTTCATACCATAGAGAGTTTGAACCCGGAGCACAAAATAACCAACCCCTTATGTTACCACTATGCTACCACACATTTGATATGGTTGCATTGTTTCAAGAGATATTTTGTCTAATCCCATTTTTTCTTTTTTTCCCCCCAAAATTGATACAACTTTAACATTTCAACCACTCAAAGAAAAATCGTCAGATTTATTCATAGTCATACTGTATGTTGCATATTCTAGGCACCACGTAAACTTAAGTCACGCGTGTGCTTTTACATCTAGGTACTTGCGTGTTATTCCCCCGACGTGAGGCCATGTTCTTTCACTTGACATATACATTTTCTTGTATATATTGATTAAGATTATATGGGTTAGTAATATTATATTTTAGGGCTTATTAAATTTGACTCCGAAAATTCCAAGTGTAAATGGGGATCTGTTTTCTTACATATGGATTTCGAAAAAGGGTTACATTTCATTTTGTTGTAACTTTCTTTTAAAAAACCAAATTTTTTTTTTTTATTTNTTATATAGATTTACGAAAAAGTATTATATATAAAAAATACTTGAATATATATAGTTAGAATGTAAACAAAAAAAATGTAATTGTGTACTCTGCTAACAGTAAATCCTACACAAAGTTATCTCAAATTATTTGTAACTTCATATCCTACAAAGAGTTATCTCAAATTATTTGTAGGTCATGTTCAATTTTTTTTAATAAAAAGTATATAATATGATAAAAAATGTTTTTGAAAAATAGGTATCTCAAATTATTTGTATGAAATGTTCTATTTTTTTTAATAAAAAGTATATAACATGAGAAAAAAAAGTTTTTTAAAAATG